TAACGTAAAAAGTGTTACTCCTATAATATACAATATGATAACTATCCCTGAAAAAAAAGGTCAACTATTTAAAACTTTGATGAAGCCGTCGTCCACAATCTATACAGCTATCTCTCTTTTTGACTGTTGTGTGAGTCAGCTTGTCAGACGGTAGACTCACTTACTTTCCTACACTTGCGTCTGATCTGATGCAAACTGAGAGTCTGACCTGAAGTCGAAGCCGTCTTTGAAAGGTATTTAAAGCTTGAGCTGAATGTAGTGAAGTGGCAAAATGGGGATCAACTATGTGACTATCGACTAGTGGTTAAATGGAACTATTGGATATACAGTGCTGGTCATAACTTCAATCCTTTAACTTTCCTTTGGTAGCCCTTGTTTAACATTAAATTTAATAATACAAACCAGAAATGTGTTTATATAAAAATAAAGGCATAAATGTAGTCTTTATAAATATAGTCTGACTCTAATTCAATGGCTGTTAAGTGAAGGCCCTATGGTCGTGTACAGCTGCAGTTATACAGTAGACAGGAAATGTAGGAAAACATTTTAAGAGCCCTCTTCCAGCTGAGCATTATCGTCCTCCAGTGAAGGGCTTCACATATTGAAGGGGTCCCTCCAGGCCTAGAAACCACAGCGCTGCTTCAGAATTTATCTCTTTAACAGCTGGCTCTTTGGCTAAGAGTCGTCGAACTGCAGAAAGCAGTGTGATGTTTCCTCCTGGCAGTGACGGAGCCACTATCTAGACCAGCCTTCCCCTGGTAGAAGATACATCTCACTGTGTCTGGCAGCCCAGGAGACGGCCATCACATCTGGTCCTGGACTCAATGTTGAGAAGTAAATTCTGCTAATGATGAGTGGCTGTCCAAAGGCCCAATCTGTCAGAGGGAATAAATAAAAACCCAGGCTCCTGCTCAAGTGAACAGAAAAATCTGATGTGTAAAAGTATGGAGACATTTTTGATGTGTTTTTTAAGAGTCTCATTGGGGGAAACGGCTGGTTTGAAAAGGAACTTGCTGCTGTACCTTTAGCTGCAAGCTGTTACATTTCACTCAGGTTGTATTCTCCGAGGTCAGCGCTGTGCGGAAACTGTTTTGTGTAAATGGACACTCTGGCAGATGGTTAAAGGGACGTCCACAGTTGATTTCATTAATGTTTGATACAGCGGTGATTCAGTTCATTGGCAGTTTGGTCGGATATTCCTGCTTTGTAGTCTGTACACATTCTTAGCATTCAATACCGAATTCAACATAAGAGAAACAGTAGAAAAATAATAATAATTTCTGACACAACACAAGATGGGATTTGGGGGTCTGTACCCCCCACAAAATTAACCATTATTGCCAAAACTAGTTTCTAACTAAACTGGTTTCTGCCTAAACAAAATTATGCTTAAAAGGTAAACTCTAACTGCTGAAACATGGTTTACATTGATCCAAACAAACAGCATTATATAACTACAGAGATAGCACACACTTCAAACTTATCTCTTAAATGAATCTTAGCATGCTATCACCCACGGTTTCATAAAGCTCAAGGTATGCGGTGATGAAATGACTGAACATAGGCAGTTATTCAGCTGCAACCTCTTCTGAACAAGTATTCAGAAAAGTATGCTAAGAAAAAAAGTGCGGATTTTCACGCTTTCTTAATTCCCTTTCACTCTAAGTCGTGCATTCAGTGTATGGTGGCAGCCCATTCTATTCAAAGGCTCAGATTTCAAAGGGACTGAAGTGATGTTAGGCAGAGGAAGATTATAGTTTTCAACATGCACAAAGGTAGAGAATATTTCCTATGAGGAGTGCGGTGACCCCTTTGAAATGTAATCAAGTGGAACATTATGAAAGAAGAATATCTGAACAATGGAACCATTTTTGAGTTTTTTCTCTCTATACAGATTAGGCCATCTGAAGATAGAACCCCGAGGGGAGATAGTTGTACATAGAAAGAGAGAGAATTAGATTCAATCTAAATGATTAAAAATAATAATAATAAAATAAATAAACCAATGCAATTTAAGCAAGATGTGGTTATTGGCCAATCAGAAATATTTGAAATGCAGGCCAGTTAAAATAATTTAACACAAATGTATATTATAATTAACAATATGTAATAACTTGTTAAATACATCAACACAGTATGAATATATGTAGATACATACAATATTTAATCTGACTATAACATTTTACAAATTTGACATTTGAATTCAAACAGAAAAAAGCACAAACAAAACCCACTTGGAATACAGAGAAAGTCCAGTAAGCTGGCATCCTCAGTGTGAACGGTGTGGTGCAGATCAGTGTTGTCAAAGTCTCCGCACACAGGGTGAAAAATTGCCTTTACTGCGTAAAAACCATAATAAATGACCTCAGAAATAACTATGAAGCACTTTTCCAGCTTCATCTGACCTTCTGTGTTGACCTTGAGGAATGTACCCACTACTGCCTTTTTTACAGCACACTGAACACCAGAAAGACAGAGAAGGTCTGAGATAAGTGCAGGTGGTGGTGTCTGTCGTGGTCAACCTGTGTGCTATCAGGACAAAATCAGTGGACTGTGTCTGGGTGACAACACTCTGCCCGCATCACTGTCACTGCTGAGTGTCCGCAGGTGTCCTCTGGTCTCAGTGTCATGACAGTCGTCCAACAGGCCAGGTTTGGGACAATAAGGCACTCACTGTCACTGTTAGCTGGTATCAACTTTTTATTATTTTCTGTGTTCAAATATGAGAAATAATTTGCTTATTGTTGTTTGTAAAATTTGTAAAAAGAATTTCTAAGATGTTTATGAGAGACCTTCAAATTTTACAAAAGTCAAGAGCACTATGATTTTGCTAAATTAGAAGAATATTGAAAAAGTCAAATTATTTGTTCTAAAAAATATTTCAGTCCTCCATCAATATTACTTTTCATAACTCTTTTTCAAAAAATTCAAGTTTGAATTTTGTTTTTAAATTCACATTTTCAGAATAAAGATGTGATTAGTCTTCAGTGACATAACAGTTTTTGTCAGTGAAGGCATCACTGACTTTATTTTGTCTGTGGTTTGATTGTTGGGTTTTACTGAGTCTGATGCTGCTACAGATTTAGCCACGATATAGTCAGAGATAATCAACACATACTTTTCACATTTCCAACAGGATACTATTTTATTAGTGCCATTGTAATTACGGCCATTTATTTCTGCAGATTCTGTATTAATTTTTTTTAAGCCCTATTCCCAAAGAGAGAGAGGGAATCAATTTTCCAGAGTGTGACAGAAAGTCAGTGCGAGAGAAAAGTGAGAGGAGCGGAGAGGAGGAAAGACGACCTGCCACTGGCACAAGGTGCAGCGCCATCAGTGGCCCTAATCAGTCATCGGCAGCCTGGATATGGATGGAGCAGGGAGGTTGAAGCGTTGCCGCAGCCAGGCAACATTAATAAGGAGGCAGCAGCCTGATTACACCTTAAAAAAGAAAAGAGCGATAGAGTGAGTGCTAGTCTGGTGCTAAATTCTTCTGATGGAGGCGAGAGCGGGGTGAGGAGGAGTCATAGTCTCTCCTCTGTGACCGTGAGAAGATAAAAGACTGACAAGCTGTAATTAAGAAACTGCCAGAATCTCTTTTCTTTTCACATGGCCGTTTTATTTGAGGGGAATTATGAACATAAACTCCCAGTCTGTGTGTGAGTCAGCTCAGCCCCCAGGAGAGTAGGAACGTATCAGGGAGCAGACTGGGTGGTGTTCAGGAAAATGGGCTTTTCATATTTACCCCCCAGGCATGTCATCTGCAACAATGGTGCTTTCAAATGCCAGGTTGTTCACAGATTAATTTTGCTGTGCATTGAATTGTAGATGCAATTAATACTTTCACTGGTTTGAATGCACTCTCTATGAACTGGGGAACTATATATTTTTCAATATATATCTTGTTAAAAGCTTCATCAGAACACGCCACACAATTTAATGCTGTGCCAGAATGCTATAGATCCATTATTCACTTGTTGCTCTTCTACATAGTTGCTACACGTTGTCATCTGCACAAATTGAAAGAAACAGGGAGAAGGACCTGGAGCCTTCATTTTGTCTCCACACCCAGCATGTGTCTGCGGGGGGTTTCCACGTCCGGTCAGATGGCCGACAGCCAATTAACAAATGTGTTGTGAGAAACTTTAGAGTTTTGATATTGTTGAGGACAACAAAAATCAAAAGATTTGAAAGTAACTGACAGTGTGTCCTACAAGGCACTCTCGGGATGCACAAAAACCCAGCAACTCTAATGTACTAATGTTTTCCCCCTAATATTAAGGAATGCTGATTTACCAGAAATAATCATTTTTAATTATGATCACTGACATCATGAATGATCATGACTAATCCAGCTTACTATAAAATATAATACTTTATTAGCTCTGATTATTAAAAATATTTTCTCTCATAAAAGGGAGTATAAAATTACAAATCTCAAATTCTCCAATATTGTGAAGAAAATCAATACCCTACTATTTAGTCTTTTAGATCCAACATAGGGCTAGCTGTAAACTGTAGAACACACTAAAAGTATGAAGGACATAAATGCATCATTACATATATGCACATATATTCAATTGTTAATCCCTTACAGTTGCATATATGATTCTGCTTAGGTTGTAAAAATGAATAGGAGGTTTGCAGGGTATTAGATTTTGTACAGCTTTCAGCATCTGTGTTCATCACGTCCTGAAATTGAAAAGAAAAAAAAAAAAAATCCAGACCTCAGTATCGAGCTTCCCTGGTAATTCTGTTTATCCTACAATATTGGATTATCTGTCTTTTCTAATTATAATCATAAATCATGCTGAATCTTTGCTGCCAAATAAATATACCCAAAGGGGGCAGCAGACTCTTGGCCCTGTTCTTGTATAATCTCTTGTAGAACAATAAGTAGAGAAAAGGCTGCAGTCGCTCCCAGTGCTATTAAGTAAATGATTTAATTATCATGATATCATTATGAAAAAATGTAAAAAATCACACCAGAATTTTGTGGTTAGGTTTTTGTTTTTATTGTTGGATAAAATGACACAGGGATTTCTCTATATAAATAACAGTTAGGTGAAATAACATACAAGACGTGGCTTTAAAGAGGTGAAAGCAGTGAGTACATGTTTTGGTTTTTTTTTTCTTAAAAAGGAGACTGTGATGATTATAGGCTTTGGACATGACTGCAACCAGTGGAAATCTGTACATTAATGAAAAGCTGTATGACTCATAGACAGGGTGCTATGTAAAAAAAAAAAAAAAAGTCTTTAGCCAAAGAGATTGATTTAAGGGTTTGGAAGAAAAAAGGGAAATAGCCTTAAAGATCTATATATAGGAGTCCGATCTAACAGGAGAGGTGGAATTACTTAAATAATCTGTACACGTTAAAAGTTCGTACTAAAATTTTGATGCAGTCGTCCATTGTGATTTAGAGTCAGAGAGTGCTATAGGGTGAAAATGCATAGAAATGTGTCCAGCTAGGAAACAGTTTCCTTCACTTACCAGCTATGAATCTACTACGGTAGCTTGAACATGTTTTTAATGTTATTCACAGCTTATCCTCAAAAACCCTCTACACACACAGACACACACTACTACCCAACTCCCTGGTGTTTTAGATCGTCATTTCTTCACATTAAAATGCCATTCACAAGAAACATGCTGTCAAACTGAACAGAAAATGCACGTTTCTAGCATTTTATTCTATTAAAATCGACTTAACTTTTCTTTGCCTAGAGATTTTTAAGTGACGCTTGGGATTTTCTTCACACACGTGCTCTATTGACTCATTGCTAAGAGACATTCTGACTTGTACAAAGCTGCTAGAGTTTAGGGTCAGCTCAAACTTCAACTTTTTCTGCTCTGGACTAAAAAATAAATGACAAGAAAAATTAGGAACGCCTAACATTGGTTTTAGTTCATCATTCAAAGGTTTAAAATTGCACAACCTATGCATGAACAGTCTGTCCCTAATTCAACATGGTATGGTGGAGTTGCAGCCATTCTGGGAATTTTCCCACAATTTTTCAAGTGGAGGGCAATTAGCTTTAAAGGCTGAAGGAAAAAATGGAATGGGTGAACTCAACATCGGGACATACTCTGGAAATTAACAATGATATAAATATATTCAGTCAATTATTTTCATTTTAATTTAGTTGAGAGATTCTCTTCAGCATTCCCACATTTGACTGAATAATGCAAGATTGCATGTTTTTGTACTTTGTACCAGATTTCTTTCTGAAAAATAACTGAAAAGAAAATAGCAAGCAACTTCATGATGTTTGGAAGGAAAACCACCTAGTATTTTCTTAATGTCATCATTAAAAGAAAACAAAAAATAATATTCAATAAAAGAGATTCATCAAAGGTTGCTGAACTGGTCAATTTGGTTTCGTAAGCGTGGTTTTCACTGCCGTGCTTCCACAAAATCAAAGAATCTGCATCAGAATTCAGTGCAACTGTAACGTCCACAACAATGATGCTTCCCAGGTGTTGATGATTTGATGACATTTAAGAGTCTCCAACCCATACCACCACATTGCCTTTGAAGACATCAGTAATCTCACAATTGAGCTTATTGAGCCGTCCATCCAGAATGAATAGGGACTCTCTGGAAGGGGACATGAGGTACTGACCAAACAGTCCGCTGCTGACCACTATCCTGTTCCTACTGCTCCACGGCCATTCGGAGGACTTTGTGGCCTCTTTCAAGCTCTTGATCATCTTGACTTTGCCTGTGTTCAATTCCACAAAGAGAGCATCTGTCTGACGGCCAGAGCTTCCAAAGATGTTGTACTGGTGAACCTCTATGAATGAACGCTGGAAGGCCAGATCAGACAGGTGGAGGTTTGTGTGAATGTCGAAGGGTTTGCCGATCTCTCCCCGCTCTGAGATGGTCTGGATCCTCATCAGACCATCATTGTCATCAACAGTGACCAAGTAATGACCGTCTGGTGAGACGTAGGGAGTGCCAGTGACATCGCTGTTTTGTCCAATTACATTATCTGTCACGCCATCCAAGATGAGTTGGGGCTGCGTGGCGCCAGTGGAGTCAGGTCTGCAGTTGACAAAGTAATAGCCGCCAAGATGGGTGTACGCCAGGGACTTTGGGATGCAGTTATACTCCCACAAACTGATGTTTTTCACGTACAATGATGTCTCCAGGTTGATCTTGTGCAGGACAGGCTCATTTCGATGAAAGATGAGGCCAAATCTGCGGAGAGTGCAAAAACGAAATCAATAGCGGGTCATTGGAGAACCAAAACTATGACAAATTCTGGCCATTTTTGTCAACCATTGCATTTGATAGCAACAGTCCTCTTTTTTTGTCTTTGTTGTGGTATTTCAGAAGGATTCCTAAAAAGAAAAATGCAGTACATGAGCCCACTACATGAGGTTATTGTCCCCACTGTGGAGCCCAGATAGAGGCATTTGGCCACCTGTCCAAACCACAGTGGTAACAAATGGTCATTCTTAATGCTTGTGTTGTCTTATACTTGTGTACTTTAGTATCAGGCCAAAAGTATGAAAGAATATGTATTTTAGTCCAAAGTTAACATGTAATAAATTACAAAAAGGCTATTCAACAACTTAAACTGCTATTTCCTGTTTCCGAGACTTGGCACGATCGACACTTTTAGGATTTCTGAAGAGGGCATGGATCAGCTGAACTGCTGCTCATTACACAAACTCGAAGGATAAGTTAATGGGACATTAAATTTTAAAATATAAACTAGGGTAGAATGAGTATGCAGGGAGCTGACAGGCCTCAATTAACCATGAAAACCGGCTGATGGATGCTGACAGGCTTTCGCAGCCTGCTGTTGTTCATCATTTTTCATGCCATTTGAACACAAGGTTGTACCTCAGAAAAGTAAAATGGCTGTTTGAAAGCCACAAAGCACATTATCATCATGTAGGAGGAAATCATTGATCCAGACTGTCCATTGGGTTTAGAAGGAGGCACTGAGTTGTTAGAGACAAGAGCCTGAAACCTTTGTGTTCTGAGTCAGGTCAAATTTGTCGTCAAAGATTCATAAGGATGAAAATGCTAGCATTGATATATTTAATATGGCATAGTTTTCCAGATTAATGACGGGTTTTGTTTGAAACAGCTAATAGATTTATGGCATAAACACCTGAGCAAAATATTAAGACAAGCGGAAACAGTGAATTATAAATTTCAATAAAAATAATTGGCATTTTGTGTTGGTAATTCATTCATTCATTCAACTAGATTAAATGTCAAAATGTTGGATGTCTGAACAGAGCTAACCTTTTCTATCAAACCTATATTTAAAGTTTAAGCTGTTCATTGAAGAGGGTGTAGGACCTCTTCTTCTTCTTTCAGTAGTTCCTCATCTGCCTCCATTTCACCGTCTCCCTACCTCCTTTATTTTTATTTTTTTTTCATCAATCAACCACCATCTGACTTTCATACAAATTGAAGTCCTTACTGCAGAGATGCTTACTACAGAATAAACAACATCTGCAACATTTCAATATAGCAAGGCACACTTACACAAACATAAAGATTTAAAATCTCTTATTGGAGCATACAACGCCCTTGCACCTTTTAATATCCTACATTTAATATATATTTTAATACTGCATATGGATTTGTGGTGTAGAAAGACAGGGCCTTTTTTTCTCTTAAATGCCTCTGATGCTGAAGATGCTGACCTATAGTATTTGGCCTGCAGACAGCATCAACGGGGCCCTAAATGTATAGTATTTTCTTCATAGTCTGTTATAGTTTTATAATCTATATAATAGGCTGTTCAATACTCTGACTAACAGCAGGTGATGTTTTTTTTTTGTTGGTCTATCGTGACTTTTTTAGTGCATAAAACTCCTGAACTTCTAAGAAATTGGAAATGACTGTGTTTGTGTGTTCAACCTTGACAGCAATGGTGCAGTGCAAAAAGCCTTTTCTCCCTGACACGTTCAAAGATGGAACACTTTTTTGCCAGTGTCTTCGGGGTGTCATTACATCATAAATAGCTGCCGAGAAATGGCATCAAAGCCAGATTTATGCGCAGATACATTTTAAGGCCATTGCTTCACTCTTAAACAGCTGGTGAACAGTCTGTTCCAGTTTGAGTGCAGTTCATAAACTGACTTTGTCAGTTGCTCTTGTGTCTTCTTTTTCTATCATAGAAACTCTTCTTTGAAACATTGTTACAATCCAACAGGAACACGGGTGGGAGGGGGGGATTTCAGTTGTGTATGAAAGTTACAACCGGTGAATAAAACTTTGCTGATGTAGCAAATACCAAAGACAAAAATAAAAATGACGAGTAAGAAGATGCTGCGGTGAAACTGAGTATGGATGTCTTTTACCTTTGATTATTTAATAATCCCACATTGCATCATAATCCTCTGAAGTGTGTATCCGACTGCCTTATTGACTCAGGTAATGTCTGTCGTTTGTAGTATAGATTAATGCATTATTGATTTAACTGTATGGTCCAACAGGATTACGGTCGTGTTTTCCATTTTTTTGTTCTGCATCTTTATACATTTATTTCTTTCTTTTTCCCGCACAGTGGCTGGTTCTCAAAGAGTTACCTAAAAAATGTGGATTCTGCAGTTTAGTCCAAGATCCCCAGGCTAACAGATCATGATAAAGAATATAAAAAAAAGATATTGCACAGTAAAAGATCTATAACACAGCAACTCCTATTTACCCATCTTCCAGCATGAAAGCCTTAAATCAACATCTTGCTTGGCTTGCTTTGCCAAGAGGCAGCCTGTGCAATGATTAGATATTTGTGAAGAATCGGTGCAGACTGAGTTGTGGGCTACTGTATATGTGGGTAAAAATAACAAATACTATCATTTTATTTATTTTTTTGCTGACAGGCAGAGTTGCCTGACTGCAAGTCGATACACATAATGAATGGCAGACCCCAGAAGTTACTGCCTGCTTTATAGTAGCTGCTGAGGGAATCCCCGGCCATTAAAGGATATCTGAAAGTTGCATACTCTTTGCAGTTCATGCACTGTTCAGACTGCAAAATCGACTGATCATTGTAGCCTCCCTGCCAGTGGACAATAAGCACAGTGTAAGGAGTTACAAAGTAGGAGTTCCTAAAATATTTAATAACCTGGCAATAACACAGCCCTGTACGGCGGTAGACTGTAGGCTTCGTGTTTGTGTCACTAGGACTTCTACGCAACTAAACAAATGTGCATGGATACCATAATCCCCATGAAACTCACTATGCCTTACAAGCCAACGTAACGGAATTGGTCACATGACCCACACAAGGTAATGTCTAATGTAAGGTAGGCATCCAGAATATAAAGATGATTCTTTCATTGACCAAAACAAGCTGGAGCCAGAGGCTACATTATGACCTCAAAGTTCCATCAGTCACCAGCTAAACTGGTCACTTGGCCCACTGGTCTTTTTGTTTTATCAATGATTTAAATCGCAGCCAACTTTAAACCGACCAGATAGATCAAAAAGTGGGTTGTATGGTTTCCCACTGTACCACCTGCAGTTAAAAAGGGCCTCATTGTAGAATCTGAGTAATGGAGAATGCGGTATCTGTTATTGGGTGATAATTTAAACAGTTTTTCCTTAAAAAAAATGATTACCGTCAGCTAGAGTTTTCAAGAACTTTCTGTGCAAAAGAAGTGCAATTTAGAAGTAAAAGAAGTTTTTTTAAACTTTTTATTGTAAGAGCATTGTTTAACTCTATACTCAATAAGTGTCTTCTGAATTCTTCCAATGCTGCTCACTCTTCACTGTTGCTCTAAATTTAGGAAAATATTTGTCATGTTTATCAATTTCTAAGAGGCCAATAATTCTCTTTTACAGCAACCAGAATGTTGTGTTTTTTAGGAGGAAAATATCAAGAAACACTGCGTGCTCGTGGGTGATTATTCACTTATAAGCATGATAAACAGAACTGGCTGCAGTAATGATCCTCAAGCTTAACACCAGGAGTGATAAGATAGAAGCTGGTGAAGCAAATCTTAAACACAACACAGCAAAATGATGAAGCCAAAATGTTCCTTCAAACTCTCCGCCAAGTCTCAGTGGATCTAATTACAGCTGTACCAGCATCAACCACCTCCTGACTCCTTTCCCCTCCTCCTCCTCCTCCATTAGCATCCTGAAATGCTCCAGACCTCCTGCTTGTTCCTGGCGTCTCCATGACATTATTGAGCGTTTAGAGGAGGAGGCACAGTCCATGCTCAAGTAAATTATCACATATTTAGCGTATTCTGTATGACTGCTCGTCATGTGTTGAGGAGTCAGTGAACTTGCTGAGGTTTGACTTGAGATTAGTCTGTTTAGGTGCTCCGACAATTTAATGTTTTTCTTGTGATAAAAGGGAGAAATAATTAGGTATTGTTGCAGTAAATGCAAGTGTGGCTGATAGTCGGCTGCAGGACAAATTACTGGTGTGAAGATGTCAAATGGAGTTCAGCTGTGAGCTGATGGTGAACCTTTTTCAGTACAGATTATTCATATAAGTTAAATTATTCGTATTTAAGCCATCTGTAAAACAGCCCAGAAATTCACACAGGACACGATGGAGCAGCGGGTCAAATGTTTTCAACGCACCAGGGGATGGAGACATTCTCTAACTCAACCCTTGGCAGGCCCTGAATTTGAACCCCCAGTCTTTAAATTAAAAACTTAATCCTTAACAACTATCCAAATTAGCAGTAGGATCTAGAACACTTGTATTTTGAGAAGACTTTGGGAACATTCACACTTGCAATTCCTCCCTTTGGTTCTTGCAAAAAAGAAAATGGTTTAAGCACAGTTTATTGTAAAAAAGCCTAAAGTAATGACCACTAGATGAGGATTTTTCTCAGTGAATGAAAGAAATGTTACTTACCCAACTTTAGTTACTTTTTTGTTTGGTTAAAATACATTTACTTTATTTCTGTATTTTTCCTCCACAGTGGCTGGTTCTCAAAGAGTTACCTCAGAAATGTGGATTCTGCAGTTTAGATCCCCAGGCTAACAGATCATGATAAAGAATATAAGAAAAAATATATTGCACTGTAAAAGATCTATAACACAGACTGAAATAATGGTGAAAGTTAAATATACAAAATGTGTTGGAGGGAAAAACGTCAACTAGATAGATCCTAATTATAGTGTTGGAATTAAACAACCGTATTTTATTTTTTCTAAACGTTTATATAATCTAAATACAGTTTTATTGGTTTACAGAGTAGGGTTCATAATGATTTATTTCCAACATAATAGGAAATGTAAATGTTTTTATATGTCCATTGCTTTATATGGAAACAGGCTTTGGTCAATCAAACAGTGTAATGTTCTTTGATGCACAGCTATTATATATTAATCTGTCATTTAACGCGTTCAGTTAACTAATCCAGTCATTCATTTATGTCTATTAATTTATCCTTTGAGTATCCAACGTGTCCATCCGCAGCCTGGACGGACAAGTGCTCACATTCACTCCTACTCCAAACTCCCATCCACCTCATTATAGCACTCCAGAGTGTGAGGGATGTGTGATATCAATTCACTCTGCAAAATGAGTTCACATTAGTCATTGGATCATACCTGACATGGTTAATGATGAGGCTCGAGGAGGGAATGAAGAAGTCGTCCACTCCGTCAAAGCGTCTGCCGACAGGCTGTGTGTGCACAGCATGATGGGAGATTCTCCCACTGGCCTGACTGATCACCTGAAGGACATCAAGAACGGGCAGTATGAGTGAGAGGCGAGAGGCTCATGTTCCCTCCGGTGAATCCAACATCTTGGCATCATGTTAGTCTCAGTACAGATTTGCTGACTTGGTATAAAACTGTCTTTTTTTTCTTTTCTTTTTTTTTTGCTGAGTTCTGTGCTGCACAATATATGCAACGTAATTCCCTCAGCATTTAAGCCCTACGAAGATAAATGTCTGAGACGGAAAAAAAGAGGCTTTAGAAGTATGTCATAATGTGTTTCTAACTCTCAGCAGAATTCGGGGGACATATATTTGCTTGTAAGAATATATTTTATGTTGTTGTGTTAATACAGCCCATACATTGCATTTATACATGTGGCCACACAGTTCCTCCTGTGTAACTTTGTTTGTTCTGTTAGCAGATGCTAATGGTTCCAGGGAACAGTGACATCATAGCCATCACCTCATTAAAAACACATTGTAGAGTATTCTGCACCCTAGTTTAGTATTACTTAGTAATTATGTACATATTTACACATACCTTAAGTTTTAGTATCCTAACATTATTTTTTACATATTCATATAAGTCATAGAATTCTAATAAACACATACATATATGTGTATATATATCATATATGATCACTGACAATGAACCTCAAATACAGTAGATAAAATGCCAAATCACGCATATTCAAAGTGATTTTATTCCAGCTCACTTAGAGGATGCATCAAAAAATTTCACACATAAGGTGAAATCACAAAATGGTCCTTCTGTGAAAATTACTTAAATATTTTAAACGACTACTAACGAGTTATTCATTTGTTCTTCACTTCAAAAGTATGCGAATACCACAGTAAATAGGTCCTGTCATTTCAATTACTCTCCATTTATCGCTCTCCATCTCACTCAGCATCTCTGCGGGCATCAAAACATTGTCGCTTTTTAATCAAATTTAACTGAGTAGGAGTTGGACTCTAAAATAATTGGAAACGTGTCACGGCCCGAATGCTCACATGGATTTACTCTAAGCGACTATTAATTACTGCCATCAAGCTAAACAATTGAATGTCTCACGGAGAGTGCAGTCATTAATCACCAATGTATGTCATATTGGAGAAAAAGAGATTGAGACAATTAAATTTAATTAGTAGTCACAGCTGAGAAGGTGTTTTTTCCTATAATTTATTATGATACAAATGGGGGAATTATTTGTGCTTCGAAACAAAATGCAGCAAACACTGCTTTATTTGTCATATTCCAAAAAGTATTGGCGGGACCACAGCTGCTCTTTGTAGATTACAAACCAATGCTATTTTGTTTTGGTGTTGTGTTTCTTTTCCTTTTTTTTTAATTAGCACCCAGATAATCCAAATCCTTACTTTATATTTTTTAACATGATGAGAAGCTTAAATTGTTTTGACTGCGATTAGCTAAAAAACAAAAACAAAAAAACCCCGAGAAATTCTTTGTGTTAATGACCATTTTTTACACTGCATATTTTTGTGACAATTCCTCTATTTAGAAAATACATGAATTGGCCATTTAGAGATTAACCAGGTACAAATTTGCTGGCTGCACAAACACAGAGCTTGCTGTCCGTTGCATATCTCTGTTTCTGGCTGCAGGTTTACAGAATACAAAAGGAAACACACAGATAATTACAACGTGTTAGTGGAAATGAACAGCCGGCTGTGGATTTACCTGCAGTGACGGCAAGTTCTTCTCCATGTCTCCCCAGCTGAGTAGCCACACCTGGTCGTGAGATTTGTCATAATGGAGCTTCACAGGATAAGGGTCAGTGCTGATTGTCTGCAGGATGACACACACACAGACACACACACACATTTCATCCAAAGTGAGCCTTTTAGAGACAGCAGGGCTGCGGAATAACAATTTAGAGGGAATCTCGCCGTTTGCTTTTGAAGTGATCCCTCTTTGATGTGCAGTGGTTAATGCGTTCAAAAAGTTTCCCTGCACTCTAATGCATCAGGGTTGACAGGAGCGGGTCTTCTTTTAACAAGGCAGACTGAAGGTGTGCTTTTTGTGCACAGGGTGTTTTTGGGGGGGAACAGAGCTGCATTTCAAATCAACTGCTGACAGACACAATTGCTTTACCACACTGAAGTAATTGCCTTCAGTCCTTCTTTTTCCTAACACTCTAAGGCAATATTCTGGAGGCAGAACCAGAGATGAATCACATGTAAAAAAAAAAAAAATAAAAAATTGCTCCCTGTGCATTGAGTTCACAGAACATCGGCACACAGCTTGCTCAAAGGGAATAGGGAAAAAATAGGGAAACAAAAAAGATGTAGTCTTTTCACTTTCAACAACACTATGAATAAAAGTATTGTTTTTTATCTTTAAGAAAACATTTGCAACCTTATTCCCACAATCCCCTTGGTTGTTGGTTTACCTTTTATACCATTTGCTCTGCAATGGTGTGTTGTTTTGCTTCTACCATGAAAAAAGGTTTTCTGACTGAGGAAGCACACTGATCCTCAGAGGTTCTTGCATTAAACGATGAGAATATGTAAATAATCCTCGCTAATCCTCTAACATGAAGTCATCGGAGAAAACAGGTGTTTGTGTTGTTTATTTTCTTTTTAACATCTCCTCGCTGGATAAGAAAATTAGGAGAATTCTCATTTAGGTTTTCCAAACCAAAAAATAATAGATTTACTAGAATTAATTAATTCATGTTTTTTCCTCTTTGTTTTTAGTAGTATATTAGATAAAACCTAATTATATGTGAATATATATATATATATATATATATATATTTCTAATTAATGCTAACGATATATAATTTTGCAAAACATTTCCTGAACATGAAGTGTTGAGTATTATATTTTAAAATTCATCAAGTGGGCTGGATTGAAACCCCAAGTGGGCCAGTGTTGGCCTACGGGCTTTATGTTTGACACCCCTGGTTTAGAGTCTCTCCTCTGCTTGTTGGTAGAGAGAGAATGTTGACTGTCCACATATAAAACTCCAGCGCAGTGTCATTCTGCCCCCCTCCTGTTCCTAATCCTGCCCTCAACAAACCATCTCCTCCTTGTATCACATAAATGAAAGTTTCAACACTTGAGATCATCGAGGGCTTCAGGCAAGACTTATTTGAACAAGTTTAACTTTCCAGGCTCTGTGCTTAGAAATTATATTCAATCTGGCCATGGTAAAAAAATCTACAATGGGATGAAAACAGACTACTGTTGTACCAGGGAAACCAATAATATATATACTTTTTTTTAATGCTTTGCAGTTTTAATACTATGCACGCTGAAGGAAACATGCTGATTCTGAACTCTGGTTCTTGTGTGAAGCAGTGGGCTGTTTTAAGGAACTATTTTTTTAAATCATCCGTGAAGAAAAGTGAGCGGACTGCCATGTAATTATCACTGTGAAGTTGCCGGGTTACGGCATCCATGAAGAGCTGGGTCTCGGGGTCACTGGCTCAACACGTCATACAGTTAAGGTGAAGTGTTGGGACTCGACCGTTGACGTTGGTGCGACATGGGTCGGGTCAGGGGTGAGCTGCTGAAGTGAGAGCTGTAGGAGGTGACGATTGAAGCAGTGATGAGTCCTTAAAAATGATTTCATGAGTGCAACGGGGGCAGGCATGGACAGGGAAGACACTAAAGGATAAAAAGGACTTTTGTCTGTATGCTGGGAGTGAAGAGGTGTGGCAACACCCTCACTTATATAAACAATGCAATCTGTTAAACCTCCTTATAGACTGTGTGTTAATAACTGATGTAGCTGATGACAACCATCTAAAGGAGTCTGACGCAGGCACCAACATTACCTATACTATTTTCTTGGTGAGAAAAACCAGCGGGACTAAAACAGAATATTGTTAGGTTTTCTTGCTTGGACAACTGTAAGGTGGACTTTTATCGTATTAACCCAGGCCTTGAGTTATGAAGGTCTGACAGTCTGAATATTGTAAACATCCGTTTACATCATTCAGAAAACTCTGGCACGATCGCTCTTGACCTCAACTGCCAAGAAAATCACGTCCACAAATCAGTTTCTCAGTCCTTGTTGCCATAAATGCAGTTACAGTAGATGTTTGGAAAATCCAAATTTGGCCTCTGAGATGTTAGGTTCTGGTTCCTCTAGTTCTGCTCTTTAGCTTCCAATTTAAAAGCACATGTCGGTGTACAGTACTAAGGAAGAAAGGAAGGAAGGAAGGGAAAGTGAACTACTTGTCATTGTAACACAGCACACCACTGCACACAACCAGATGTGACCTCTGCTTTTTATCCATCACCAAAGTGAACAGTGGGCAGCTTTAAGACCCCGGGGAGCAGTGTGTACATAAGTTTTACACTTGTGCACATGAATTCCAGTAATTACTGCTTATACCACCATGCACATAATATCCCAGCGTAAAACCACCTACTCAGTAACCATGTTACCCGTATAGAGTATTGTTGCATATTCAGTTTTTCTAAGAGAAGCATTCAAAAGAAAACACTTCCTTTTTCACTTTGCTTTTCAATATTAAGACATTTTTCTTTGCTTTTGGTGTTTTGCAAACCAGTGAATGTCTGTCGAGCTGCATGGTTAACCGAAAAGAACCTACATTTTGTGAACTCTTGATAGAAGACATGACTTGTTGCCTATTTTGAGTAAAATAAAGCTCAATTTTTATTTTGAATAAGGAATAAAGAGAAATTGTATAAAAATGTTTTCTTACAGTAACACAAGCAAAAATGTGCAACATGTAGAAGAATCAGAAACATAGAAGATGATTCCAGAGTGGACATTGTCCATGGACTGCATTACTGGTCCCAGATCTGATTTTATCAAGTCCAGATTCGACTGTGATAGGTAAAGGATTTCAGTCCAAGGCTGTTGGATTGTTGATTTTCACAAGATCAAAATCAAACACATTAATTCAACACAGCATTCTTTCTTTTGTCGATAAAATCCTTCTAATTAAAATATCTAAAATTTTCTGCTTTAATGATAAATATGTCACTGAAGGTGGAACAGAAAATGCTGCACTGGCAAGTTGTGTGTAAAAGCTGGCACAAAGATTCAAGTTACTTCTGTTAAGTTTGTAACTGGATGAAGGACAATGCGTTGTGTCAAAGTGGAGCAAAAGACCAAGTGAAATTTTCAACAAAAATGTTCACAATGCGTTGTGTCAAAGTGGAGCAAAAATTTTCAACAAAAATGTTCCCTTGTGTAACGGCGAAAAAAAAAAAAAAAATCCCAGCGGGGTGACAACTGAAAGAAAGTTCTTGAGAATTATTTTTTCTTCAGTTCTTTTTTACTGCTTCTTTTTACTCTGTTGTAATGAATCAGAGAGTGGAAAAGAAGAACGACTGCCATGTGAGACCTGGGAGTTGTTTACGTAGAAAGGAGCGTTCTGTTTTACCTCTTTCCTGTTAACTGATCCCACATCTCATCTTCTCTCATCTTGTTTAGGTTCTGCAGAAAGAAAGGGACACTAACTAAGCCTGGAAAATTACCTGGACAGCCTTCTGAGACTGGATGTCAACTACAAGGACTCGATTCAAGGTTGGCTGTGTCACGTAAATAAACTTGTCCTTGACGTTGACCGCTGATGACCACACACACCTCTGGACCGTCTCTCCTGGTGAGATAGGACACACCTCCTCCTGAGGAAGCAATACACAGATACACAAACAAATACAAGGTGAATTAATTGTCTAATATCACAAAGAAATACTTCAGTATGAAATAATTATCCTTACTCTCTGGTCTCCCTGGTTTTTATATTTTGATATATATATTTTGATTATGTGATCTGTGATTCGTCAAGAAAATTATGTCATCACCGATGTTATCATCAAGATGATGTCCAGATGTATAACTTTTGCAATGTCTTTTCTGGCTGATGTCAGGTGTGGCCTTTATGTTGCCAATCATGGATTCATTCAGACTTCATTCATCTCCCACCACGAAGTACTTTCCCAGCGGTGGACTCACTGACTACAGTCAATTGCACGTCCACAAATAAAGACAAACAACCATTCACTCTCACATTAAAGAGTCTAATTAACTTAATCCTGTTAATGTTTTTGGATTGTAGCAGGAAACCACAGCGCAGGGAAGAAACACAGACACAGTCAGGGAGAATAGACTTACGATATAAACCCCTGGTTGGAAAAAATAGGAATCAGGAGTTTATTTATTAATTTTGCTTCAAGACACAAGCACTGTCTACATCTCCACAATATCAAAATACTGGGCTGAAATAATTATCATTTTGAACTTAAATTAAATTAAAGGCATTTTATCGTTTGTTATTCACAACTTATGAAACCTTACTCAGCAGAACCACTTTAACACCAAACACTAATGATAAAGTTCTTGCTAAACTTGTTTTGGACTGTTTGCACTGTAACACCTTGTATGACTATACAATAGTGTGGTATATCTGATCCTGATCTCTCCTTCTTTCTTCCCTGCCTCCCTCAGTTGCCCCTTTCTCGAAACACTGTTGCCAGAATGCTGCTCGGTGTGTGATTTAATAACTTACTCAGATTTATTTTGTTAACGTTATCTGAACAGAACATTGACTAAATATACATTCCTCAGTTTTTAGGAGGATCATTTTAATTCAAATTCAAATTTCCTTTTTAATTGTATTTTTTTCTAGTTTAATTTAATAATTTGGACTTCCATTTCTCCCCTCTGCTCCTCTCAGGCTAAAGCCTGAGCCTCGCCGACTCCTCCAGACTTTGCAGCATGATATAAGGAGCGGCTGATCAGCAAGGATGAATGAAGGGCCCCAGCTTGGCTGCAAGGACTCCTCTTCCTGCACTGTATTTACAACCGCAGAGGGGGGTGTTGACAGGTGCCGTCCGACAGGCCAATGTCTTTAACTTAGAAGGACAATGGGTAATTTACGGACCTGATAGAACTATGTAAAGGTTAGTAATGGGACAAGAATACTACAGAATGTATCTGTCCCTCTGTTTCCTTCACATACTTAACATGACTTTCTTTCATTCTTTCATTCTCTCTGGAAATGCAGGTTAAAATAGTCTGTCTTTGAACAAAGGCAGTGGTTTGTTCCTTACGTTTGTCAGCTGCAAATTGTCTGCACTTGAAGTTCTCACCAAGTCACTGGGATTGAGACTTGTGAAAGCCCTGAAGACCCACTCTGTGGTCATTCAGGGTTACACAGCTGTAAAATTGGACTTATTGCACCATGGTGGTGAGTAATCCAAACATCTGAATGGATGTCTACGAGTTCATTGTGTGAATACACAGAAAAACATTGTTTCTTCTAGTACAAAATATATATAATGTACTAAACACACGGATTTCTGTTATGATGAAGTAGAATTATAGCTAAAAAAAACAATTGTTATAGAGTTGTTACTGTTTAGGTAATTATAAAATTCCAAAACATAATTTTTAGCTCTTCAGTGTAAATTATGACATTTACCAGTCCTGCGATTTATTAAGAAATCATGTATTCTCAGTGAAGCTGCTGGATGATTTGTAGTTTCAATATCTTTGTGGCACAGTATCAACCATCTGTTGTGAAGAACTGGCCAAGAACTGCAGAAAGGCAAACACTTCTGTTTTCTCTAAAGGTTTCTTCTGCATCTGACTTCGAAATGAAAAGAAAAAAAACAACAACAAACAGAACAATCCAATTCCAACAAAACAATTCTAAGTGATGAAATGTTATTCAAGCAAATTAGTAATTGAATTTTGAACAGAAATGTTTGCAACTTTAGGACCCGTTGGGTCCAAAGTATATGCTCATGGGCAACTTTTGTCCCCAAAGCTGGTTTATTCCAGCTGTTGGACGTTCAAAAAGTTTTAACAAACTTTAATAAACTTAAATTTCTCTTTGTAAGTTTGCAGGATAAATTGCTTTCTGTTTTTTACTACTTTCAATAGTGTGGTTTACAAGTGATTTTGCTCACCTAAACTGCATGAAATATTTAAGATATGGCATTTAAAACAAACAGTGCTGAGTAAATTCATCGAAACTAACATACTAAATCAAGAGTTTATTTAAAAAAAAACATCAGACAAACCTGTGTTAGGTTAAGCATTAGCACACAGGCCACGCTCAGATGTCCTTTAATTTAAACAACAAAGTTCAATGCGTGTATCTAGAGTACGTGTGACCTTGCTGATAGGGTTGATAGATTCGATCGAGTCTCGTCTGGTGTTTTGTCTCTATTAGTAAGGTGAGGTACTTTAAGTACATAGTAAAAGCCACTTGCAAATACAGCGTTTTACACTGATCTTAGCGGTTTGGAAAATCCTTGGTTACAACACATAGTAAAAGCCACTTGCAAATACAGTGTTTTACACTGATCTGGTAGGCAGTGGAGGCTACAAATAGTGAGGCCAATGACTCAATTTAAACCTTTAGCTCTGTCTCATTTATACATAGCCGTCATATTTGGGATCCACATGTTGGAAAATACTATATAGATTGTCGTGTGAGACAAAAGACAACTATGCTTTTGATGCATCCTTTAAGGAGCTTTTTTACATTTTTTGCGGCTAAAGTAATAGTAAAGTAAAGTAATCCAAAGACACGACCTGGTATGATTTCTTCTACAACCAGACCCCAAAGCTTCATCACTGATACTATGCATATAAAGACTTTATACGGTAGTGAAATATAATGGATCAGTGATCCGAAGTCCATAAACAAATCAATCATTGCTTCGCAAACCCGGCACCACACTGCGAGCGGCCTTGTGTTCGTGCAGCAATCCCCCAGACTGCACTGGAAGTGGAGTTGCAGCACTCACAGTGATTGATAATGTAATATAAACACACCTCTCAGAGGGACGCTGGGCTGATTGTTGGGCATTCGCGGCTGTGCATTATGTATAACAGCCATCCAATCAGTGCAGGACTCAGGGATGAAATGTAGCTGAGCGGAGAGAGTCTTTTTTAACTTGTGTAAATCTAATGGTTTCTAACAGTGAGTGGCACTGGATGTTTTGTTGTTAAAAGGTCTACTCCTCTATCAAACACTTTAATATTCAACTAAGCATGTGTCCACGCTAAGGCGATATGCCCTCTCAACATTTGAAACTCAAGAACTTAATTATGCGGTCCAGAAATTAATTAGCAACATTAGCAATAATGTTACAATGGGTACAAATATTAAGCTAAATGGTAGCTATCAACATCACTATTAGCTATCGACAGCTAATACTAACTTGCTATGACTATATGCCTGATATAACAAAAATATTCTGGTGGTTTTAAAACAAAGAAGAAAGAAACATCGTTAGCCTTGGAACAGCACTCTCCATCTAGATTCATGTAAAAGCTACATTATCAAAGTTTCAGGGTTTTGTTTTATATTTCATGGTGAAGAACGTAGAAGTTATTGATACAGGTCTGCCAAGGACTGACAACACTTTTAAAAGCACCTCTTAACATTTGGTTTTACTATCTTCTTTTTTTGCCAAAAGGCTCTACTGTAATAAAGGAGAAGTTCTCAAAAGGTGCATTTCACAGCATAAAGGTTCGCTGACAGATATTAATCATTAGTTTATAGACTCAGCCGCTGCACGAGGAGGATGTGCAGGTCTTTTAATGAGCCGCTATGCCACAGAGTCGTTTAAGTTACGTCTTGAGTTATAACACTTGTACTGGTGAGCTAACTCCGACAGGCAAATTAAGTAGAGCTGTTAAGACGCAGGCATGACAAAACTGGACTCTGCAGCACAAAGTGCTTTGTACAACAAAATGGTTTATTTAAAAGCACGTCTGCCTTTTATTTTGCTTAGTACGAGAACTGCTGCTGCTGCCGCTGCTTTAATTACACTCACTGCCGCAACAGCCATGTATATATCATCAGGTTTCAGGTTCTTTCTTCCTAAGTAATGAATGCCACCAAGAGACAAACTCCAAAGTACTACAAATATTGGCTTCCTAATAATGTCTAATAAATATACTAATGGCAATTCAATGGTAACTTACTTAGGATATGCAGAAATAGGCTGCAAATATTTGCTAATAGACACCAGTGATGAATCCATGTCTCTTTCAAAATACTAGGTCAGTTAATAGTTGTCATTGTTACTAAAACCATTAAAACCAGACAAAAGATTTTGAACTTTCTTTTAACACTGATTTTTTCTTTATTTTTATTAGTTTATTTTTCCATATAAACATTTATCCAGTGCAATGAAACACTGCCCTATTTATACAGTGTAATCCTCAAAACTACTCCAAATATACAACCTCAATTTTGGACCATGTTGCTTCTTACCTAATTTTAGGAACCATGATCAATTCCAACTTTCTAGATGTTTCTCGTCACACAGATGCCTGATGTGCCCTATTTATACAGTGTAATCCTCAAAACTACTCCAAATATACAACCTCAATTTTGGACCATGTTGCTTCTTAGTTTATATTTACACGCCACTCACCTGCAGAGCCAGTAACTTCTCACTGGGCTTAATGTGTCGTTGAATCTCACACGCTACAGGCTGAATGACTTTGATGCCATCGTCATAGAACACATAGAACATGTTGCCAATGCCAAGACCTGCAGGAAGAAAAGTTCAACATAACGCTAAATAGCACATCGGAAATAGCTCAGAACTGCACCGTGTGAATGTTTGCGACAGAAATAAGCCTTTTACACTGTTATCTCTTTTCAGAGCATCAAATCATTTAAGCCTTTTCATCACAGTTCACCAACGCCATTACAAAAATCCAATTAACTCAGTTTAATGAATGTGGAGGAGAAGCTGTCTAGACGTACCTTCTTCTCGCCACAGAATGTTTGCCACTGCAAGGAAGAAGATGAAGGAAAAGAGAAAAGATGAGGTGAAAACACCACAGGAATCAATAGTCCCCCCCCCCCCGTTGTAAGAGCTAACAGGCAAACGCTAACTCCTGCAGATGCAAAGAGGAGTGTGAAAAGAAGCACGTGAAAGTTTTATGGAAAGAGTATTCTGACACCTACTGCAACAGACAATCGACGGAGCGCCCTGCTTGGAAAAATAACCTGGTAGAAGGCGTTGAAGAAGATTATTTAGTGTAAAATTACTTAATTTAGTTACATCAGATTGTTTCACTAATTGTGATGAGGTTTAAGGACGAGTGACTTAGACAAACCTTTCCAGCCCAGATGATTTTTATAAGTCATAGTGCAGTATGCTGCTGATGCTGCTGTTTCGGTGGCAAAACCACCTCCTATTATGTGTTATTTCTTATTACGCTCAGTTGAATGTGCTAATGGTGTGTAAAATGGAATGAAAGTGAAAAAAAAAAGCTAACAGGATAAACAGCCTAATTCACAATACACACCCTTTCTAAACAGTTGTAAGGTAACCTATAAGTTCAATGTATTCTCATCTTGGAGTAATGTTGATTGAATAATTAATAAAATGGGGAGCCTAAGGTCTACACTGTGTTAATTAGTCAATGCACAGAGTCCTGACCTGAACCCGATAGAACACCTTTGGGATGAATTAGAGCGGAGACTGAGAGCCAGGCCTTCTCGACCAACATCAGTGTGTGAACTCACCAATGCGCTTTTGGAAGAATGGTCAAAAATTCCTATAAACACTCTCCTCAACCTTGTGGACAGTCTTCCCAGAAGAGTTGAAGCTGTAATAGCTGCAAAAGGTGGACCGACATCAAACTGAACTCTGGGTTAGGAATGGGATGGCACTTCAGTTCATAGTATGAGTCAAGGCAGGTGAGCGAATACTTTTGGTAATATAGTGTACATGGATATACCCAAACATGACTGTAAGTATTTGCTCCATAGTGTAGCAGTTATCACTGCAGCCTTATATATTATATATATAAGGACAAACTCCTCCAACCCCCTGGCATCAATTCTATCCCTTGTGTAATAGCTGCAAAAGGTGGACCGACCCCTGGCATCAATTCTATCCCTTAGTGTGACTACTCTTTCATTGTTCATCAGACCATCCGGTGGTCTCCCCTTTTCCACCCAATCTCTGTTTTAGGCATTTTCATGTCAAAAACCTATCTCCAGCCTAATTCAAATCTGATTCTAATCTCACCTCTAATGCAATGCTTATTCCAGCCTCTTGCTCTGGTGGACAGATGCACAGAGCCAAGAAAGAAAAAAGGGACAAAAAAGGGAGAAGACAAAACCAGCTTGACATCTCTGTGCAGTGAGTCAGCTGTAATCCTCTAAAATAGCTGTGTCGTGTACTTTCAGTGCACTCTTGCATACATTGTTCAAATTAACACAGTGGATTCTACAAAAGAAATAACAATAGGATAAGGGAGGCAAAAGAAACAATACATTTATTTGAGGTGTGCCAAAAAATTGGAAAACAGATAAAATAGAAAAGAAAAGTTGAGATGAGATCTTCTGTGCCCAGGTCTTTTTCAATAGCCCCACAGTATTGATGCTATTCATCACTGGGCAGAAAAACCATGGCTACTTTGCGCATACAAGAGCCCCATATATCAACTTCATCATCCATATAGCAAAACAAGTCGGCTGCCACTGTCTGCACTGAGTTCACTTTCTCTCCGGCTCTAATAACTGTGTTTCCACAGAGGACTGGGGAAACGCCATTTTTACCTGCCATCCTAGCCTCTGCGGCTCCTACCCGTCAGCAAGGTTACATAAATTCAATTTGTTTACAAGGGAACGCTGCTGCGACAGCCGACCAAACAGCCCGTGGTGTTCTCCACACTGGTGTGGCAGAAGACAGCAGATACATAATATAGGGTAACTAATTTGGTTAGAATTTTGTAAATGTAAAAAAAAAAAAAGAACATGAAACACAGGGAGATTGCTCTAGGTGTGTTCACATAACGTCTTTCTGCCACAAAATGGCAAATAAGACAGCAAAACAAGAGAAGTTCAACTCCACTCAATGGGTTTGTTTAGAGCAGAGCTTAAACAAAGGCAACATTTCCAACGTACTGTAAATGAGTTTGAGCAGCAATAGAACCCAGTTATAAAACAAACTTATATCAAACTGATGGGAAAATAGAAACCAATACCACTGCTCCCACATTACATTTTGCAAGATTAGTCCAAGGCTCAAGGCTACAACATCCTTAGGTTCATTTACATTATGTCCTTGAACAACAAAGGCACATATCTTAGATACACGAGGATGTAAAACAACAATAATGATACAACTATAATCTGTGTATTGACCTAAGTGGGTTTATTTAATAAAAAAAATCTTGTTTCTGACTCGGACTCTATCTTCAGGGGTCACCACAGCAGGTCATTTGCTCCTGTCTCACATTGCCTCCTGCCTTATCTTTGGTTGTACCACCTCCATGTCTGCTTTTAGTACAACCATAAATCGTCTCTGGTATTACCCCCTGCATCGCAGCTACATCTCTAACAACCGCAGCACAACATATCTATTGCCATGGTTCATGTCTAAATCATCTCAATCCTTTTCTTTTAAACTTCTCCCTAGAGTACTGAATGATTGCAGTCCCAATGATTTGACAATTTTTAAGTTTGACGTAGCTTCATACGCTAGCATAAAAAAAAGGAACTTATGCTAACCCTTAACTGGGTTGCATGGTGTTTTCATCGATGTCTGGTTAGAGTCCCTTGTCCCTGACTGCTTGTCAAAATGTGACAAGAGGGACATGTCTTATGGCAGCATTACTGCTATTTTGGTGTGAGCTTTTTTATATTCAGAGAATGTGGAGCTCAGAGCTCAGAATACAAAAGCTTTGTGATGACTTTAGTCTGAAATTAGTTGTTCTCATCCATGCGGGATCAAAAGGCCCCGAAAGATTTCAGAACTCAGGTCCAACCAATTGGTTCAACAGCACTGATTTTTCTGATAATGTCATGTTTCTGAACCACAGTGAATCTGACTAAAATAATAGTGTGAACTGAACATCAGGGCAGAATATATAGCATCAGAACAGAGATTGTCATTAAAAATAGGGACATGGCTTTAATAAAAAGCAATAATAGAGATTATGAAAATGAATGCTTAAATAGATGGTGAATTCTCAATGTTTAATCCTTTCTCAAATCAATTTCAATTTTACTTAAACTATCATCTTTTCTCCAATAAAGATTGAAGTGTATTTAGAACCAAATAACAGCCTCTCTGCATCACTGGAGCTCATTATAATTGTGTCTACCCATTAGTTTATTCTTGTTCTTCTTTCAGCTGCTCCAATCATCTGCCAACATCCCATAGTGTCTTCAGCACATGTCCAAACCACCTCACCTCTATAACCTTTACCCTTTTTCCCCACTGGAGCTTAATATGGTACAGTGATGCCTCTCCTATCGTGGTAGTTGCATTCCAAGATCGCGAAGTAGAGGCGAGATAGTTATTTACCCTTTACGAACCTCCCCCACACTGTTATCAACCCTCCCTTGACTGTATTTTTACCCTTTCCCACACAATTACCGTGTATGCACAGTAGAGTTGTATAATGGCGACGCAGAGTGAAGTGAATGAGAGTGGCTGACAAGGGGATATGGAACAGAAGGGAACAAAAGAGTAACACAGAGTACACATTGTATTAGCCAATAGTATACTGTGTACGATCTCATCTAGGTGAACAAAGCTACCGGCTATCTTTCGCAAATGCGCTAATCCCAATTTCAAAACTTGAATTGCAGTTTTGAAGCCACATTTGTTTTGCTATAGGTCACGATATAAGAGCGATCGGATTAAAAAAACTCCCGTTTTCTCTGTGCATGTGAGAGTAGAAAAACCTCAAACTCCTAGTCCACATTACTTTCCCCGATCATGCATATTGTTCACTTGATGCTGTCTCATCAGTGCAGCTCTCCTCCTGTTTGATTGCTGGATGAAAGGATAAAAAATCACTTTCCTGCTATGCTGATCACATGACAAACGTGTATGTGTCCATTTAGCAATTGCAAAACATCAATGTGCACTTGATCCTTTTCTTAATGGAAACAAAAACAGGTATAGAGTGGGCGGTGGAGCCCAAACTAAAAGTCAATGTAAACAAAAGTGTGTTCTCTGCACTTTAACTACTACAGGATTTAATAATGTAATAACTAATATGGGAGTCGATTCAGGATTGAGTAAGAAAATGATCCACCTTAACCGTCCCGCTGATCTTCCCATCCATCCTGGACACTCCTATTGAAACCTCAGCATCTTCAGTATGTGTCACTACAGTCTTATAAACTTTATCTTGAAATTTTACTGGTATTCATTTATCACAAATTAACCAGACACTCATCTTCATCTATTCCACCCTGTCTGCATCCTTTTCATTACCGCTTTTACGTACTCTCCATTACAGCGGATGGTTGACCCCAGGTCCAACATTTACTATCCGTAACCCTAGCAGCTTCACACCTCACCCGTGTTTTTACGTGTTCTATCTCGCTCCAGCTGACCTTTCTTTTCTCTTTGCTCCATAGGTTTTCCTCCACCTGCTCCCTTCTCTAAACACAGATTGCAATGGCATCTGCACATCATGATCCACACTTCTAGTTTAATGGTCAAGTGATTGAATCAAACTGTTCATTACCGTAACATGAAAAAAGTAGAACAGAGCTGGTCCATTTTGCATTTTGCTAACCCTACCCTGAACCTGTTTCTCAGCCCTACAGCTTTCCTAAAAACTGTCTCACTGGTTTATTCTGCACCACCCTCACATACTTCTATGCCACTCCTGGCTTTCTCATACAGTGCCCCAGTTCCTCATAAATTTTTTTCTGGGCTTTGGACCAGTACTGGGAATATGTGTAAACAATAGATATGTTTTCCTGTCTGGCAAATAACATACACCCTCGTTCATTTAAAGGGTTATCATTGT